GATTTTATTATGTGCGATGGCCTTTCGGAGTAATTTCCAGGGGCGCCCTTGCCTTGCATTTGGCTTTGCCAATCGACTCATTGTCTACATGTTTCTACATATGCATGCTCGATGCGTCTGCAGATGTTTTTAAGGGGTTATATACAGTTGTGATATATGAAAAAATCGATTTTTTTTTATTGCATATTCTTGAAGTATATTCTATTGGGAATACTCTCACAAAAATTCATAATGATCGGAGCATTAGAACCGAAGCTGTAGCTATTTATAGCACACTATCTGCATATAAAACTTGAACAAACTTGAAACTTTAAACGCGATTATCTCAGAATCTTTTTTTTGGGAAATTACTTTTGCGGTGGACACGATTACTAAAAAACTACTTATCCGATCAACACCAAATTTTGACCACTTATTTATTATTATTAGGATTGGCCGATAGTGTACTATAGTTGTCATATTAGTTATACTAAAACTCGGAAACAATCACGAACAAAAATTAAAAATAGATAGAAGCTTCTAAAATCATATTATTGGAAGTTGATCTATTAATAGAAATCCCATATAGGTTGACCATCCATGTCGAATTTTCAAAGTACAATACAATAGAATACAAAAAACAAATTTCTTACAACAGAAAACCAAGTGTAACAGCAAGGGTATAATAGCTTCGAATCCCCCAGAAGGTAGCTTTTCTTGCTTGTTTATAACTAATATATCTTGTGTATATCAAATACTTATTTTCGTAGGAAGATGATGCATAAACACTTTGCTTAGACACGGCAATACATTTTTGAGTTTATATTTGACGGAAGCTGTTTTTCATTTCAAGTTTCTGCGCAAAGTTAAATAACTTTTTAAAATGTGTATTTGTACATACAAATTTTATTCTTTATTTATTCTTTTGAATAAATGAAGAAATGAAAAGTGGGGAATTTGAGTTGATAAAGAAAGACTGCAGTGGGAAGTTTTGTCCTTGAAAACAGATCTGTTTGAAATTTAAGCAAATTTTCTTTTATAAAAAAAAACAAGAACGAAAAGGTTTGATGCAGGTGGAGCTCCAATCGGAGATTACTCCATTACTGCGTTGCACACTTTTGACCAAAAATATATTTATTTCTTTTCATATTCTGTTATTACAAAGTATAAAATCCTGGCAAGAGTTCAAAACTATCTTTTTCAATTCAAAAATAATTCATAAAGCTGGAAATAATAATTCATTTGGAAATAATTCCAAAAATTCAATTCTATTCCAATTCAAGCTGTTACTTAGTGTAATTACTTAAATGAAAAGTTATTAGTGTCAGAGTACAGACCCAGTTATTAGTACAGACCCAGACTCTAGAAATAAGAATTTCGTTGTTTTAAGCTTAGAGATACACGATACATATATTTAATGATTAATTTAAGAAATTACTCGGATATAAAAAGGTACAATCAGGTACAATTACATGGTTTAATATTGACTGAATGTCATAAAATAAATTTATTTTAATTTATTAGTATACAATGTACTTATCTGTAAGTTCTTTTTTGACATATTGTGACAAAAGCCATTACAAAATAATATAATAATAATAAAATATTCTCAATGGTCCAATTGTTCTCAACAATACTTCAAGAACTTTAATGAGAAAAGGAGGTTTTTCAAGTACCTTGAGCAAATTGCATACCCTACCAAGATCTACCATGGTTTGGTTCTATTTAAACAAAAGGCACACTTGTAAGAACAGATTTACATTATTTGATTCCCATAAAAACGGTATATTATGTTTATTTCATATGAACAAATCAACCTGAGAATACTGGACGACTATATCCCTTTATTTCAAAGGAACTTAAGATGTAAGCTTCTAGACAAAATGCAACACTCTCGACAAGTCGTATCTTTAAGTATTTTGCTTAAAGACTTTTTCTGGAAAATACAATGCGGCTGTTCAGTGAAAAAAGCTAAAACCTACTGAACTCATCATATTGGAGACAGTGTGTGAAGCTTGAGGAACAAATTCGAGAGGGCTGCGTTTTCAAATTTTTTTTATTGTATTGTATCTGCCAGTGCCATTGCACTGCATTGAAAGAGTCACGTAAACAGAGGTATTGGGTGGAACCCACCTGAGTTTTCCTTAGAGATAAGCCGACAGTTCACATTCCCCCACCCCCTGACGCTCACCGATAACCTGGCTCGACAATGGAAGCCAGAAAGTATTCTCCGCCTTTGTCCGATAAGCGCAATGGGGATGATTTTTGTTCGGAACTAGCAGCAAATAGATAGTCTAGATTACAAAGAGAACACACTGTAGTAGTACTTGTAGTATTTCCAGTATTTCCGGTCCTTTTAGGATGTAAGTGAATTTCTGATCAAATGAATTGTAACAACTTAAATAACATATAGGTGTGTTTCATTAGAAAACAAGAAAGAAAAGCTAATTTCGGGCGGAGCCGAATTTGATATATTTGATATATATCGCTAGTTGGTCGATCCTTATGAGAATATGATAATATAACCCAATTTATTATAATAAAATATCTAAAAAAAAGTCCCAAACTTCTATCTTCAAAAATACCAAAGTTGGTATTTCTACCATAAACCATTTTCGATCGTTCAGTTATATGGTAGTCCGCCGATCGTCATGGAATTCGGAAGGTCGGATTAACTGACCTGAAAATACAATCTGTAATAAGTTTCAGCTTTCTATCTTCAAAAAAACGAATGTTGGGTCATTTTCGATCGTTCAGTTATATGGCAGCTATAGGATAAAGTCGGCCGATCCCTTTGAAATTTTGGCATGTCGTATTATTTTACCAAAAAAAGCTCTCACGTCAAATTCGAACTCCCCAACTCTAAACACACCAAAGATATACCATTTCCGATCAATCAGTTATATGGCAGCTATAGGATATAGTCGGCCGATCCCGACTTATATACTGCATGCAAAGGAAAGAAGGGTGTGTGCAAAGTTTCAAGTCGATACCTTTAAAACTGAGAGACTAGTTTGCGTAGAAACAGGCAGAAGGACATGCTCATATCAACTCAGGAGGTGATCCTGATTAAAAATAAATATACTTTATAGGATCGGAGATGTCACCTTCACTGCGTTGCACACTTTTGGACAAAATTATAATACCCTCTGCAAGGGTATAAAAATCACATAACGGTTGGTTATAATGTTAGATATGTATATACATATAACGGCTTTTTACGGTTAATTATAAAGGATATACTCGGCTGATGGGTTGCTTATCTTTATAAATAAGATTTTGAATAGACAATTTTATAATTTAGTTGTGGAAGCAAAAAAAAAAAATGTTACCACTGGGAACAACGAGTTCTTTTATTTCTTAACAACGAGTATATTTTCATTGTCGGAAATTTGGTTTAGTCTGCTTAAACATTGAGTAGCAATATATGTAGTTTTAAAACACCTAACCCATCCAAGTCCAAGTTCCAAATCGGATAGTGTATCTCTTATACTTTTCGATATCCACGCGTTATAAAATTTAGCCCGATTGTATGGAAAATGGTATATACATATATATGGATATATCTCCTCCAAAAATCGGCGAAATATATCCTCCAAATATATATTAACTATATAATAGTTTGGCATAAAAAAAACTTCCAGTACTGCGCTAAAGAATTTCGATTTGTGTGGGCGTGAGGGGCGTGACAAAACTTTGAAACTAACTTTAACTGCGTGGCGATATCGACTCGGCTGTTGATGCTGATCAAGAATTTATATACTTTATGGGGTCGCAGATGATTCCTTCTCTATGTTATATACATACACGACTACAATGTAACCTTGTACCCTAGGAGTACCGGGTATAAAAAGCAATTGGCGACACAAAGTGGCAGCATCGAATATTTTACATGTGTATAAATAAACACATTATTTTTCGATGGCGAAGCCGTGGAAGTTGATGGATGGCGAAAACCGGCTACGGATGCACTAATTGATTTTATCTCGACCCCTTGCAAGGCCAAAGCCAAAAAGGGAAGTTTTGGGGGCTTTATAAACCCACCCGTATAATTAAATGCGGCAAGTAGGTTGAGGCTGGGGTATAATTAGTTTTTCTACGAATAGCCAAGCGAGCAACTTTGTTGTCCACCAGAACTGCAGACATCACATATGTATGAGCACTCTATAAAGTATTCGTTTTCCATTGAAAGAACCCGACCACGATGCGAATGTGTGTTGTTGGACTTGGAAATCAATTTTCTACCACATGGCGGATAAGCCCTGGGGCTCTGAATTTCGCGTTAAGGGGAATTATCTGTACCATTTTTAAAAAATCGAAAAATTTTTGTTTCGCTTAAACATTTTTTTAGGGTGTTAAAAATAACATATTTAAAGATAGAGTCCGGCAAAAGTGCCAAAGTGTTGAAATTTTCCATTCTGCGGCGATGCCTCACAGGTATATCCCAGGTATATATCACAGGTATATTGTAAGTACTGTACAACTTTAAACGCGTTTTTCTCGAAACCACTTTTTTTGAGACTGCCGGAAACTTAACTAGAACAAATCTTAACCGATCGATTTTGAATATTGACAGTATATTTAAAATAACTTTATCTATCGACACACTTAGGATTTTTTTATATTGCTTACTTTTTTTTATTAACAATTTTGTGACTTTTTTTCGTGAAAATTTTAACTCTTTTTTCAATCACTCGCCATTTTTCAAAAAATCAATATATCGAAAAAATCCTACGTGCGTCGATAGCTGTTGGTAGCTGTAGAAACTAACGAAAATTTGTTATTTGTTCTACATCAAAAATTAAGGACGTTAGCTGTCCGGCCATGGACTCCCTTCAAAAAAAAGAGCCTACGAAGAAATGCTGCACAGCCGCCATTTTGTTTTCGATTTATTCGAAATTATATTCGAATTTATTTTGTACTCCGCATCTAATATTATAAAACCTAATTTACAAACTTTCGATAGGCTTTTTCATTTGGCGAAAAAAAATTCCAGAAAATCCGTTTTTTTTTTCCCCCAGTTACTCGGATGTCCCCCCATAAATGGATTGATGGATGGGACTTGTTATGATGATACATGCGATCAATCTTAAGACTAATATTTGTCTTTACCAAGTAAGCGTTTACATTACCCACTTTTGGACGGAAAGCTATTGTCAAATTTGTTTTTGATTATTATTGATCGCCGAATCGAATTTTCTTCACCTGCCGTCCAAACGAATTCAAATATACATATTAGGGCGGGTCAATTTGTTCCTGTCCAAAAAATCCTGAAAATCGTCCCCCATAATCGGAATCTACGAAGAATTCTAAGAAAATTTCACCAAGAAACCATGTGTCTAAAATGAATTCCTAGCTCGCGCCGAGAAGCTTCAAGATTGCATATATCCTCGAAATATCTGCTAAAATACCACTGCCAGATCCGGCAATTCCATCGCACATACAGGGCACCGAACGATGTGTGCAGTTGTTAACACATGTCTCACGGCGAGTTATGCGACAGAATCGAGATGCTGTTATGTCATTGACTTTAGAAAGTCGTTCCAAAGTTCCTCAAATGGAGTCAAAGAAAGACTTCAGATTCTATTAAGATGACGGTATAGTCCAAGTCAAGAAAATGCAAAAACTACCTACTTGTTTGAAAGCAAATAAACTTTATATTAAAAAATTAAATTAAATTCCGCCTTTTATCATGCCACGCCTACTTTTATTTAGTTGCTTAAAATGCCTTTGAATATATATTTAATTTTTCAGATCGATACCGTACTTCGTTAAAAAGTTACAGACTCATTGATCCAACTTTCATATAAGGCTATGAGGCTAAGTACATGGCTAGTTTGACTCTTTCTTTAGAAATTAAAAATAATTTATAAGTTAAATAAATTAAAAAAAACAAGAAAGGAAAGCTAACTTCGGGCGGAGCCGAAGTTTATATACCCTTGCAGTTAAAACCGGATATATATCGCAAACATCGGATATAGTTGGCCGATCCTTATGAAAATATGATAATATAACCCAATTTAATATAATACAAAAACCAAACCTAAAAATATCCCAAACTTCTATCTTCAAAAACACAAAAGTTGGGTAATTTCCGATCGTTCAGTTATATGGCAGCTATAGGATATAGTCGGCCGATCCTTATGAAATTTAGTAGGTTGGATCAACTGACCAAAAATAGAATCTGTACTAAATTCCACCTTTCTATCTTCAAAAACACGAAAGTTGGGTCATTTCCGATCGTTCAGTTATATGGCAGCTATAGGATATAGTCGGCCGATCCCTATGAAATTTGGCATGTCGTAATGTTTTGCCAAAAAATGCTCTCATGTTAAATTTGAACTCTCTAACTTTAAAAACGTCAAAGTTATACCATTTCCGATCAATCAGTTATATGGCAGCTATAGGATATAGTCGGCCGATCCGGGCCGTTCCGACTTATATACTGCGTGCAAAAGAAAGAAGGGTGTGTGCAAAGTTTCAAGACGATAGCTTCAAAACTGAGAGACTAGTTCGCGTAGAAACGGACAGACAGACAGACAGACGGACAGACGGACAGACGGACAGACGGACATGCTCATATCAACTCAGGAGGTGATCCTGATCAAGAATATATATACTTTATAGGGTCGGAGATGTCTCCTTCACTGCGTTGCACACTTTTGGACAAAATTATAATACCCTCTGCAAGGGTATAAAAATTATAAAATTTGTTGTAAAAAGATGAATCAGAATTGACTCCAACATAATTGGAAAATGCGTACGTTTTTTTTAAATACATTAAAATGTCTTAAATACCTCGAAATATCTTATGTACCTCATAGTGCAATCTTGAAGCTTCTCGGCGCGAGCTAGGAATTCATGGTTTCTTGGTGAAATTTTCTTAGAATTCTTCGTAGATTCCGATTATGGGGGACGATTTTTGCGAAAAAAAATTGACCCGCCCTAATACATATACATACATAGACATCGTTAGTGGGCCATATAGACCCTGTTCTATTCTATAATGAAGGAGATTTCGATTTTCTTTTTTCTAAATGTCAGATTGCGTCATTGGCTTTTCTATGGCTTTTTGCTTAATTTATGGCTGGGCGCCAGACGACAAAAGCGAAAATTGGAAATTGAATTCTGATTGATTAGTCGAGAGTTGCAAGGCCGTCAAATTGTCTGGATGCCGACCTCGATACGATTAATGCGTGGTCCATCAGCTTCATCTGATTTTCTTCAGGGTGAATTCACCCAATCACGTGCGAATTCTACTTGATTGAAATGGAAACCAAGCCCCTCATTATATTGGGGAGGTGGGGCTACCTGTCATAGAACCGCAAGTGTCCGTCAAACGAAAACATTTAAAAAACACGAAAAATTCTCAAAAATAATTTTTTTGAGGTAGACGTCAGGCAAATAAATAAATACCCAAAGTCCATACACATGTCCGATTTATTTCCAAAAATTACATGATTTCTATACACTTGAAACAACAAAATGAACTATTCATATTTTAGAAATCATAAGAAATGTGTGTATATTTGATGAGAGTTGAAATTAATGAAAAGTAAAACACTTTTTGTTCAATAATTTAAATAAATTAAATTCCCAATTTAGCAAAATTTAACTACAAGCTATAATTTTCCTATTTATTATTTTTGTAACTGGTATAACTATAAAACACGGTAATAATAATACTTATAGAAAACTATAAAATTATTTTTATAAAATGAAATAATATTGTACAATTAAAAAAGTAGACCTAAATGTTCCTAGAACTTTCACCTTTCTTCCCTCCCAGTATATCCTTTAAAGATACTTTCAGTAGCGGGTTATGTAAATACTTTTTATTAATTATATAAGTACTCTGAATTTGTGTTCAGAATCAAATATTGCTTAATGAGCAATGCTCATGATAATGAAACTTTAGTCAATATAAACCTTAAAAGTGTTCTTTACCTTTTCGGTGCAAGTATACTTTAAACACTAATGTGCCACATTGGGCGTATAGAATACCTCATACATTTACTTTAGATTGACAAACTTAAAGTAAATTTTACTTTTTTCATTAGTTAATACATACTATTATATACATATACATATATATAAAATACATACTATTATGTATTATATTATGTATTATGTATTATAATATTAGTATGTATTATTAACCCAATATTTAACGTAAATACCATTTTATTCTTAAAATCGAGCTACGTATTTGAAATACCTTAAGAAATTTTTTAAAATTAATAAAAATTTTTTTCGGCCCGTTCCATATTAATTAAATTAAATTTGTCATGAATATTCCTCAAATATCTCGCTAAATCACAAACTAACTAAACATAAAACTTTTTAATTTTAAATGTCTTTTAATGATTTTTTAATGTAAATAAAAAAGTTTAAATATATGAAAAGTATTATTTTGATGATCGATGGCTATTGCTATTTTATGGAAAAACTGAACTCGGTTAATTTAAATAAAACTTAACTAACTTTAACTTTCGTTTTTTTTTTGTTTGTGCGATAGCGATATTCATTAGAAGAGAAATTTTTTTTTTTTTCGTTTTAAGAAAGCCATAGGACTCTGATTCGTGACTTTTTTTTACTTTGGAGATGCATAATAAAGAATAATTTGTTTTTCTTTTTTTTTTATACTTTTCGAATACAAATAAACAAATTATAAAAAATGGGTTCTGTGCCCCGTTTGTTCAAAATGGGAGGATCCCTCTTAAGCAAATTAAAAGTACACATATGAAGTAAAACTGAGTAAATACATACTTGATTTATTTCTTTCAATGTATTTGGAAATTGATGACAAATGTTGTGGGTGGATGGATGGGGTTAGTTGATAGAGTTCTTCTACTGTTGAAACTATTCAATCTCCTTCTAGCTAATGCGATTCATCGATCAATGGCAAGCTGACAGCGCTCGTATCATACGAATTCATTTAGCTTAAGCTCATTTAACTAATTTCGCCGCAATGGCATTGAGAAAAATAACATCTCGAGCAACAGCTTGCAGCATTTACATATGTAGGACACATTAATATCATTTCCAAAATACGCACGAAATTCCCACTTGATATGAATTTATAATGGCAGCCATTATTCCGGTTTGTTTTGGCTTTTTGCTGGTAGCGGCCGTTTAGCAGCTCTCTGTTCAAACCTAGGCCGTGCAACGTTCGACTATTTACACTTGCATAACTCAGAAATGTTTTCGGACAAGTAGAATAAATAAAATTTTGGACAAGCGCCGTGCATACACATCAAGTTCGGCCATAGTCTGGGTGTGTGTACGTAATATGAAAATATTCACGTCTCATTATATTATTGTCACTGCGAAAATGCAAATTCGAAATGCGCACATCCAAAATGATTCAAACAGCCCACATAGAGCCGAACCATAGAGCCGAACCAGAGCCAGGCGGCGCAGGCAAACAAATTGGCGACAAATCAACGAAATAGTCCCCACCGCTGACTGGCTTTCCGACTGCCTGACGGTATGCGTATGCCTTTGTTTGTGGCGGAATCTTTTCGACAACTGTTTAAACACCAGGCCCAACATGATCCGCTGGTTGGGGGATTAACAGGGTTGTTTTATTCCAAAAAGAGCCTAACACGATCGCTGTTGGAAAGTTTATTGACCAGAAACCGAAAGTTCTTAACTCTAAAGGTCTCTTGCAACATTTGGGTAATGGAAAGATTGTTGTATCTTGTTGACCAGTTATATTATACAAAAATTATATTATATATTATACGTAAAGTAAGAAATACATCGATAGACTACATAACCACGAAAATAATTTTTCCTTAAATCTAGTAGACAATAGTTAGAAGAACACGACAATTAGAAGACTAACAAGAAAGGAAAGCTAACTTCGGGCGGAGCCGAAGTTTATATACCCTTGCAGTTAAAACCGGATATATATCGCAAACATCGGATATAGTTGGCCGATCCTTATGAATACATCATAATAAAACCAATTAACTAAAATAAAAATATAAAAAAAAGTCCCAAGCTTCTATCTTCAAAAATAAGAAAGTTGATATTTCTACCAAGTACCATTTCCGATCGTTCAATTATATGGCAGCTATAGGATATAGTCGGCTGATCCTAATGAAATT